AACCCAACTCTGCAGTTTTGGTTCTCCAGCCAGAACTGACAATATCATCTTGGGCAAGTTTCTTAACTTCTCTGAGTCTGCTTCCCCTTGTGTAAAAAAAGGGTTCTTGCTTCCTTTTCGGGTTTGTTGGTTGAGGCAGGTTACCTTTTTTTTAGTTGCTTGATTTTCTTGGTTCTTCATTAACGGTTGTTTTTTTTTTCTTTTTATTCTTCCTTGCCTGTCCACGCTCTTTTCAGCACTTTTTTTCAGCACTTTTGATAAATTTGCAATGGCATGATTCTTATGCAGAACCGTGGAGATAGCATGTTGTAGGTAATTAACTAAAGACAAATTAGGAAAATTTGAAAGTTGGATTTAAAAAAAAAAAACTACTTTCTAAAATAATTTTTAAAGGATGATTTGGTGCTCAAGGCCAAGAAGATAAAGCGAAACCGCATTTCCCAATATTTTTTATTGTATGGTGCGCAATAAAGCAGCCCTAGTAAATCCCCATTTGTATATGTGACAATCTGCAGAATCTCCAGTTACAGTCAAACTCAGAGCAAGCAGAGGCATATTGCATGCATATACATATATAGTCCAGTTTCCACTATTATTTCTTAACCCCAACTGGTACTAATTTTGCAGTGTTCATTGGTGAGGTTTATTGAGAATATCCGTGTGCTACTAGCAATGGAGGAAATGTAGGGGTGAGGGTGAAACTGCAAGACTCGTGTAATGTGGGTTTGAATGAAGCTGAAATCTAAATTTAGAAATAAAATTAGACCCTAAAGTAACTCATATTCCTCTAATGAGATTTTCTTTGATTCCAGGGCCCTGAGACCTTAGTTTTACTACTGGTTTTGGTATACTGACTCACCATGGGTTCTCAGTCTATCAGTTTTCCTCGTCTGCATCATGAGTGATATTTCTTATACCAGACTTCCTGGCCTTGTATGGCTGCTGAGATTTCATAGGATCTGAGTGACATTAAAGTAAGACAAGCACTACAGATAAACAAAGTACAACTATTTATATTGTGTGCTTCTGGGTTTTGGTCTGTCCCCAGCCCTACCCTTGACCATGCCCTGCTGGACGTGCCCTTCCTTCGACTCCCTAAGGCGATGCCCTCTGACCTCTGAGAGCAGCTGGACCACCCATTCTGAAGACACCAGCAGTCCTAGTTTTGGCCGCTCATACACAGACCTGCAGCTCATCAATGCTGAGGAGCAGACGAGTGGCCAGGCTTCTGGGGCTGACTCAACTGGTAAGATGGAGCCCTAAGCCAGAGGGCTTTGCAAATCACTTCTGGTGTTCTCAGGTCCTCCTTAAGGTCGTCTTGCAATCCTTGCAGCCAGCTCTGTTTGCAGAATGAGTACAGGTATAGTCATCTGGTCAAAAAGCTAGAATCCAAAGTGGTTTGGAATTGCATTGGGAAAAATGTATAAACAGATTGGCTGATGGGTTGGCAGATTATTCATACTGGGAAACCATTTGACAGTGTATCTTAATGTGTTATTTTCTGACTGTTTGCTACAAATACCATTCCCTGTCAATTTATTTTCTCCTGGGATTACTAAACTATGTGTAATATGCACAAGGCTGCATCTTTCATCCTACCACCCACACATCTTCCCTCTTCAGCAAGAAGGAAGTAGATTTAAGCAGAGAAAAAGTGAATGTTATGTGAAGCAGAATTTTACAGTTCAGTGTTTATTCTGTTGTGCCTCAGTTTAGCAATGCAGCCACGTCCCATGGCTCATATATTAAACTTTCCAGTGGTCGTAGGATGGAATGCTGGCTTTCTTTGCAGGTGGAATGGATGGGTCTGTCAGCAACTACTATATTATGGGCAAGGTTTGGGATGGCACTGGAAAGATGCTGTATGTTCTTGGCATTCTGGTTATTTGGCCCAAGAGATTGGTTTCCTCTGAAAGTGATAGAGTTACTGCTAGTTTCTCTGCAGATGAAATTATCCATCATGTCAACACTATTTGTTTTTCCTTCTCAAAAATATTGTCTAGAAGTTTCTAGATCATTTTTCAAATTTGGATAATGTTTGTCCTCATGTTGTCTCATGCTGTGTGCTGTTGGGTTCTACAACAGGGATCTTTCTTGCAGACAAAAGGGTTCAGACAGGATTTGGTTTGGTATTTGATAATATTGCAGAGGGATCCTAGTTTATTACACACTCACTCTCTCTTCACAAGCCACAGTTCAATGTGGCATTTTGTTTGCACAGACAATCCTTCAATTCTGGTTAGTCTCTGTGTCTGATGATCCAGGTCAGGCACAGTGGCTCACACCTGTAATTCCAGCAGTTTGAGAGGCTGAGGCAGGAGGTTTGCTTGAGCCCAGGAGTTTCAGTGGCTGAAATATGCCTGCACAACCCCATTTCCACTGTGGGGGCATCTCATGGATGGGAAGGCACCTTCATCAGCTGAGCTGTTAGGAAGAGAGGCTGAGCTCACCTCCCCTTACTCTCAGCCTCCTTTCCAGGCCTTCCTTCA